CACGCGCACCGCCTCCTCGTCGACCCGGGCGGTCTGAGCGCGGATCCTGCTCAGGCACGCGTACGCCTGGAACGTGTAGGCCCAGCGCTGCGGGGCCTCGTACAGCGAGCGCAGCAGGTTTACTCCATCGCCGCCGCCGCCGCGCCACTCGGACACCGGCTCGGGAATCGTGCGCCAGCTCGGGTCGGTCTCCGCCAAGATCCGCAGCAGCGTCGATTTACCCGCCGCGATGTTGCCCTCCACCGAGATCCGTTTCATCATCTCGGTCGTTTTTCTTCCTCTCCTCCCATCGCCGCTCTATATATGCGCGCGTGACACGCCCACCCACCAACAAAAAAAAAACCACGTAAGCTAATAAACATACAACAAATGCGTTGTGTATTTCGCTCGCTCCTCCTCCTCTCGAGGTTCGTGTGTTATTTTGAAGAGAGGCAATTCGTTGTCGTCGAGCGCGGTCGGATAATAGCGCGACCGTCGTCGCATATAATAAGCGGGCGACGCGAGACGAACGAGCATCATCATGTTGTATCCGCGCTTCTTCTTCTTCTTATCTGTTATTTTCACCGTCTCCGCCGAGACGACGACAACGGGATCGGAAAGCCCGCGGACCTTCAAGTCTTGGGGGCTGCCCCACGGAGCGCGTTTATCACTCGGTGGTTAATCGCGCTGGATACGCGGCAACGCTAAATTTCTGACCGCGAGGTTGGTGCCGCCGGACACGGCGCGACTCTCTGGGACAGCGCGCTGGCTGCGGGGTCCGATGGCGTGCGAGACGGGACATCGTGACCTTTTACCTGGGTTATGCCCAAGATCGACCTCGCGGCTGCGCTGACGACCACGGTGGACTTGGAGCTAAAACCGATGAAAATCGCCTAGAAGAAGCTGCGGCTGGGACTCTCTTTTTACTGAGGGGCGACCTTCGCATGTGTGCGCGAATATGACGACGACGATTGCGGATTACCCCGCGCCGCGATGTTTAACGCGTTTCTCGTTCCACCGCAGCTGATACCCTGCCGCGGTCGCATCGACGCGTCCAAGAAAAAGTACGCGAAGGTATGTCTCACACATCGAAGCCTGTTGTTGTTGTTGACCGCAAAAAGTTTTTTTTTTGGTCTACTTGCAGATGGGGGACCGACGGTCCGCTCAAGGCCCTGGCGGAGTTGGACGCGGTGCTCGTCGTTGCGTTCGTGAACTCTTTCTAACGGTCGTCGCCTTGGATCTTGTTGTTGTTGTTGTTGTTGTTGTTGTTGTT